CAATAATTACTCAAATGACCCTTCCGATTGCAATATGTACAATGGAAAGGAAGCATTTGCTTATGTTGACCAAACGGTTGTGCACGGGAAACATTAGAAACATTTGCAAACATGGATGGTCTTTTAAAATTATTTTGCAAATGCGAAACCTTATCAAAACAAAACTTTCCTAAGTGGCCATATCTACCACAAACATCACATTTAAACTTTTGTGGTCTTTTAAAATCATTTGGCAAAAGTGAAGTCTTTTTCAAATCATAGCAAAATTTTGCCAAATGGCCAAAACGTCCACAAAGATCACATTTGAACACATTAGCATGTTTATGATGTGCATGATAAGCATATGCATGTGTATGTGATGAAGAAGCTACATGAGATGCACAAGAAAGATTAATATTCTTATGTTTTTGTGCATCATAGCAAAATTTAGCTAGATGGCCTTTACGGCCGCAAATTGAACACTTATAAACTTTGCTATATATGTGTGCATGATGAGTAGATGATGATTTAGACTTGGCACACATATCCATAAGCTTCTTATGATTATTGATGCATGTTTTCAAAGTTGAATCTAAGGATGAAATGCATTTTTTCATAAGATTCAAGTTTTCATTTTTTGGCACATATGCACCTTTAGAAGTAGAACATAAATAGTTATTTATAAAAGAAGCTGTATTATTTTTTATGTTCTCTACTTCTAACATGGCATTATCTTTCTCATGAGTTAACTTACCAAAGTTTGAAATTAAAGAATCATGATCCAATTTTAATTTTTCATTATTTTCTTTAAGGATCATATTCTCATTAGAAATAGTATCAAACTTAGAAGCTAAAGACTCATGATCGGATTTTAAAATTTCATGCTTGCTTTTAAGATTAATGAAATCATTTTGCAATTTCTTGTAGGCATGCAATAATTTATCACTAGCATAAGCAAGTTCATCATTATGTAAATCATTAATAGATTCGAACTCGCAAACCTCACTAGGGCTATCGCCTAGTGCACGTGTGCATGAAGCTCCATATGAACTTGAAGCGGGATCCTCCAAAGCTTGTCGGATCGCCTCCAAGTCTCCTTGATGCGCTTCTATGAATTTCCATAATGTATAAGCGCTATCAAAAGAATCAAGCTTGTTAGACATAAATGAATCAAATGCATTTAATAAAAATTCTAACATAAGCTTGTTCATAATAAACATCTTTTTATCATGTTTGCTCCACTTGGATTTCTCCAACGTGGGCACAATATAAGCACAATCAATGATTTCCCATAAATCGATATTTTTAGATTGAACAAATATTTTGAATCTAAAACACCATTGAGCATAAGGGAAAGCATTGAATTTAGGAGCAATACTAGAATCATAGCCTAAACAAGATGCATCATTCATATCCATAATTTGTAAAAATATGCAAGCAAGATACAAATGCAATCAAAACAAGATTAGCACAAAAAGGATAACTTGGATCTTTAACTCAAGGCGATTAGACCTTAAATCAAAGAGCACCAAGCTCTGATACCAATTGTTAGACCCTAGAGGGGGGTGATTAGGGTCTTATGCTAATCTAATCCGATTTAAATGCCAATTAAAAATAATTAATACGTTATCCTAGCAAGTATGAAATACAACAATATTTGTAAGCTAGGATAAGCAATGTAAACAATAAGATATATCCTATATGATGAAATATATATATATGCAAGGATATATAAACTGACACAAGGGTAAACAATATGAACTAGATAGTGGATGATATAGATAATGAGCTAATGACAATGGCGATATAAGATATGAACATAAATATGAATGAACGCCAAAGCACACTCAAACAAGCAATATGATCACGGAGTTCGGACCTTCCGTCCTACGTCTCCGCTCCCCACTCCCGGGGAGAAATCCACTAACACAATCCGGTTTGGAAGCCGGAACTTCTTCTACACACTCGGTTTTCTAGCTAACCGAAAACTCTACAACTCACACTCTTGCAATCACACTCTACACCCACTAAGTGTTGGACCTAGCCGT